TAAGGTCTACAATCTTGTCCCTGATATCCTTGGACAGCTCTTTGCCATTGTGGAGAGTTTGGAATCTCATTGTTTGATTGCTCCTGTGGCCAGGTGTCTTTTATACAGGTAACAAAATGAGATCGGCAGCAATCCCTTTAAGAGACTGCTTCTAATCTCAGCTTGTGACCTGTATGAAAGACACCTGGTAGCCAGAAATCCTGCCGAATGGTAGGGGATCAAATACTTATTTCCCTCATGAACATGCAAATCAGTGCATCATTTGTTAGACATGCATTTCTTTTGAATTTTGTGTTGCTATTATGCTATTATGTCATTTCTTTGTGAGTGGGCAAACATTCAAAATCAAAAGGGGATCAAATACTTATTTCCTTCACTGTGTGTGTGTGTGTGTGTGTATATATATATATATATATATATATAGAGAGAGAGAGAGAGAGAGAGAGAGAGAGAGAGACAGACAGACAGACAGAGACAATATACTATCGCTACACAAGTCATGACCTTTCCTTTTCAAACTGCAATATAGCAGCCTAGAGATGTCCTGTACACAGATCGTGTACAGAACATCTAAAAAAAAAAAGAGTAATCTCCCACTTGTATGATTGACTCACTGACTTTCCCAGAACTCCGCACTAAGATACAAGTCAGATTTTAGACATACCCTACAGCAAATATGTACATTTTTGGTGGGACGTTCCCAAAAGGAACTCATGTCTAAAGGGATACAGATCCTGATACTTTCCTCCTTAGAACCCTGCAATTGCAGCTGCTGATAATTACAAAAGGTTGGAATCTGCAAAAAAGCTTTTAAAATCCTTACATTGTACATAGATTCCTCAAAAGGTAATGTTTTTTTCTCAACAAAAGTGGAGTTATTCTTTAAATAACGCCCATGCTATAGGTGTAGGCCATTTAAGTACTTCCTGATGCCTAGGCGAAACACTCCCAGTAATGGCATCATCTCATCCTGCCTTGTTGGTAGGAAGTTTATAAGACAGCCCCCAGCCAATTCAAACACTTTCACAAGAGCTCTCTCTCCTGTCACAATTACTCTGAGCTCAGCGATACTGTGACAAAAAAGGAGATACGGGGGTTTGAGAGCTCGCTCCTGTGTTGGTAGGGGACAGCAGTAACGACTGGGAGTGTCTTAGCAACATCCTAGCAACAGGCAGGATGGGATGATGCCATATCTTTAAGTTACATGGAAACACAGAAAAAATTATGGCAGGAAAAAAAAAAAAGAAAAAAAGGATCAAGTGGTCCATGCAGTCCATCCTTTTTTGTATCTTTTTTTTTCTCCAACCATTATCTTTTCCTATAATCACTTACCGTATTTTTCGCTCCATAAGACGCACTTTTTTCCCCCCAAAAAAGGGGGGAAAATGTCAGTGCGTCTTATGGAGCGAATATAAAGCGGCCGGTCCGGTATTTCTGCCGCCACCATGTCAGAATACCGGGCCGGCCGCTCAGCTGTTCTCTCCTGCAGGGACTTACCTGTTCCTCGCTCCAGCGCTGCACAGTCTTCCCGCGCTGGCTTCTGTGACAGCCGGGTGCCCACTGTGCATGTGCTGCGCTTTGTGAATGATCCGGTGTCTTCTGGGACACATGACAGGTCCCAGAAGGCGCCGGGCCATTCACAAAGTGCAGCGCTTCTCGCGCATGCGCAGTGGGCACCCGGCTGTCACAAAAGCCGGCCCAGGAAGAAGAGAGAAGGACAACTCCGCGGAAGTGGGAGCGGGTACCTGTCAAATTCAGGTACCCGCTCCCCTCCCTCCCCAAAGGTCAGCAGTCTCTGGTCATCCCCTGCACTGTCTGCAGTCTCTGGTCATCCCCTGCACTGTCTGCAGTCTCTGGTCATTCCCTGCACTGTCTGCAGTCTCTGGTCATCTCCTGTACTGTCCGCAGTCTCTGGTCATTCCCTGCACTGTCCGCAGTCTCTGGTCATTCCCTGCACTGTCCGCAGTCTCTGGTCATTCCCTGCACTGTCTGCAGTCTCTGGTCATCTCCTGTACTGTATCCGCAGTCTCTGGTCATCTCCTGCACTGTGTCCGCAGTCTCTGGTCATTCCTGTACTGTGTCCGCAGTCTCTGGTCATCTCCTGCACTGTGTCCGCAGTCTCTGGTCATTCCCTGTACTGTGTCCGCAGTCTCTTGTCATCTCCTGCACTGTGTTCGCAGTCTCTGGTCATCTCCTGCACTGTGTCCGCAGTCTCTGGTCATCTCCTGCACTGTGTCCGCAGTCTCTGGTCATCTCCTGCACTGTGTCCGCAGTCTCTGGTCATCCCCTGTACTGTGTCTGCAGTCCATTGGTTCAGAATATTTTTTTTTCTTGTTTTTCGCCTCTAAAACCTAGGTGCGTCTTATGGTCAGGTGCGTCTTATGGAGCGAAAAATACGGTAAACTCCGGAAGGTTTTACCCCTTTCATGACCAGGCCATATTTTGCTATTCGGCACTGTGTTACTCTAACTGGTAATTGCGTGGTCATGCATCTTTTTTTTCCCACACAAATTTATTTTATTATATAAAACAAAATACAAGTCCCAATAAGTGTATATTCATTGGTTTGAGGGAAAGTTAGAGCATCTACAAATCATGGTATATATACTGCAATATTTACTGATTTATTTTTATACTAGTAATGGAGGTGATCAGCCTTTAAAATTGATTGGACCCTTGGCAAAAAATTTAATTGGGCCCCCCTAGTCGCCACCTCCCCCCCCCACTCTGAAACATACAATAAATAGCAGCTAGACTCAAAATCTGTTTACTGCAGAACAGGCAGCAATTGGCTGCCAGAGGTTACAGCATATCATTACTGCTCACTGATTGGTTCCTAGAAGTTACAGCATGCATTACGGCTCATTGATCAGTTGCTAGAGCTTACAACACATAATCTCTGCTTGCTGATTGGTTGTTAGGGATTACTGTACATCATTACTGCTCACTAATTAATTGCTAGAGGGTACTGCACATCTTTAGCGCTCAAAGATTGATTGCTAGAGGTTATTGCACATCATTACTGCTCAGTGATTGGTTGCTAGAGGTTACAGCACAGAATCTCCTCCCTTCCTGCACACCACAACCTGCAGAGGTGACAAGACCCACAACTAGACAGAAAATTCTAGAACTTGTTATTAGCAATGACCATAGCAGAGAACACACAATTATGAAGGTTGACTGAGTGCCGGTAGGAACAGAGACCAATGTGAGCAGCATCTCCAAGGATGGGCTGCCATGGTATTTAAAGAGTGCAGGAATGAGGGGTGCACTTTGTACGAAGTGCAGGGTTCAGTGTTGCGCTTTGTATGCAGTGCCTGATTGAGGGGTGCTCTATGTATGCAGTGCAGGGTTGACAGGTGCACTATATACGGAGTGCAGGGTTGAGGGGTGCCTTATGTACAGTGTGCAGGACTGAGGGGTGTGCTGTGTACATCCAAGTTTCCCCCTCTCCCCCAATCTCTAACAGATTTAATTTCAGAGCTCACCCACTGAAAACACACACACACTTTTCAGTGGGGCTGCAGAGGAGTACTTACAGTGTGTCCGTGCGGGCTGGCGGGGAGGAGGAGCTACTGCCTGTGTGGACCCCCTCCCTCCTCTGCTCTCCTATAGAGATCGATAGGTAGAGCAGGGAGAGTTGTGAGCGGCCGCCAGCAGAGGAGTTGTGTCACTTGTAAATACAGAAGCAGTGTATTTATAAGTGACAGAAGTGAGCAGCGCCGCAGATGGCAGAATTAAGGCTGGGAAAAAAAAAAAAAAAAAAAAAAAAACACTGGCGGGCAGCTGCTTTGGCCCCCACAACAATGACTGGGCCCTGGGCAGCTACCCCTTTTGTCCCACGTTAAAGATGTCCATTACTGACATCTCCAGTGACAATAATACAGTGATCAGTGCTAACAATATACACTGTCACTGTACTAATAAAGATGGTTAGGAAGGGGTTAAAATTTAGGAGCAATCACAAGGTTAACTGTGTGTCTAGCAATGTTTACTTTGTGTAAAGGGTTCTATTTTACTAAGCGATGTGCCAGTTTTTACTCCCTGGTTTGCAGGGAGAAAAAAAAAAATAAAACATAAAGAATGTGACCGTTGCTGTATGGTATGTAGACAGCCCTGTGTTGGTTACTCTCTTCTGTCATTTGGTCAGCCAATCAGCGGGTTCCAGGCCTAAACCATTACATCACAGCTGGGTGCGCATGTGCCCCCCTACACAGAAATGCGGAATCACATACATATACATGATCTGGCACAGTGGGGCCGCTTTGCTGAAGTATATCGGCGGTAAGCAGTCAAGTAGGAAGTAGTGAACCGCTTCCCCGCCGCCCTATAGCAGAAATACTGCTACAGAGCGGCAGGGATGCGCAAAATCACATATACACGTGATTTGCATTTCCGGGTAGGGGGATGTGCGTGCCACCCTACCCGCACCACCATTGGCGGCTACAGTTGTCAATCACCAATTCCCTGCCGGCACCCGGCGATCCCCGAGAAACAGTGACAGAGGAGAGACCTGTGTGTAAACAGAGAAATACACAGCATGTTTCCCTAGTAAAACACACACAGTTAACCCTTTGATCGCCCCAAATGTTAACCCCTTACTTCCCAGTCAGTGTTTTTTATTAGCACTGATCACTGTATTAGTGTCACTGGGATGTCAGTAGCAGTTAGTCAGTTACCCCCCAGTTACCACAGTCCCGCTATAAGTCGCTGATCCCCATTACTAGTGTAAAAAAAAAAAAATTCCAGTGTGTGTATATATACACACACACACACGCGCGCTCTATTTGTGGGGGGGAAAAAAGGTAATAAATTTGCATGACCGCGCAATTGTCAGTTAAAGTAACGCAGCGCTGTAAAAAATGGCCTGGGCAGGAATGGGGGGTTAAATCCTCTGGAGGGCAAGTGGTTAAAGAGACAAAAATATAACTTATCCACCATTTCTAATGCATTTGTTTTCCTTTCACCTTTCTTAGCGTCAACTTTCACCCAGAATCATCATGAAACCGAATTTTCTCTATCTCCTGGTTACATTTTTGGTGACTGTGATTGTTCTTCGAACTCTCCTCTTTTCAGAAGCTAATCAAGCTCCAACTGTAACTGCTCCAGCAGAAAAGGTGGTTCTTCGTCATGTTCTTCCAGTCATTACTGATTATCCAGTTGTAAAGTGTGTAGAAAATACCAGCACTCAAAATTTCCCAGACTTTGATGGACAGCCACAGAACATGAAAGATTTCTTGACATACCGTCACTGTAAAAGTTTTCCATTGATACTTGACTCCCCCATGAAGTGTAATCGTGTTAACGGCTCCAATGATGTTTTCCTGTTGTTAGCCATCAAAACAGCACCAGAAAATTATGACCGCAGGGAAGCCATACGAAAAACATGGGGAGAAGAAAAAAGCTACGGGGGTGCCAAAGTGAAACTAATTTTTCTTAGTGGAGTTTCAAGGAACAAGGAAAAAGCAAAACGAATGATGCAACTGTTAGAAGCAGAGAGTCACACATATGGAGACATCCTCCAGTGGGACTTTGAAGACACTTTCTACAATTTAACATTGAAGCAGGTCCTTTTCCATAAGTGGATGGATCTTAGGTGCCCAGGGGCACAGTTCATTTTCAATGGTGATGATGACGTTTTTGTTAACGCTGTAAATGTGATTACATATTTGAGAGGCTTAGAATTTGATGGACTGCAAAAGCATCTTTTTGTTGGAGCACTAAATATAGGGATGCCACCTGTTCGTGAAAAGTATAGCAAGTATTATGTCCCAGAACAACTTTTTCCTGGTGATTATTATGCACCGTACTGTGGAGGAGGAGGTATCCTCATGTCTGGTTTTACAGGTAATGCCATCTCAAGGGAATCAGCTCGTATTCCCCTTTTTCCTATTGATGATGCTTATCTGGGAATGTGCCTTAAGAAGGCTGGGCTGAGTCCAGATAACCATGAAGGAATAAGAACATTTGGTATCAACATGCCGAATGCAGTAGACTCATTTGATCCTTGTTATTACCGTGACATGCTTATGGTCCATCGCTTTATACCCTATGAAATGTTAATTATGTGGAAAGCCTTAAAATTTACCACACCAAACTGCAAAACACAGATAGTAAATAGAACTAAGCCAGCTCAACCTTAACTGAGAATTTTTATTTAAATTTGTGTATAGCTTATAAACTGTATGTATAAAAGTGATTCTAGGTAACAAAAAAAAAAAACAAAAAAAAAAAAAAATTTATTAGACACCAGGAAGCGGAGTTTGAGTTTATTTATTAAACACTGTTACCCATTTAGGATAGAGTAGAACGTTATAACATTAAAGTTGAACTCAAGGAATAATGTATTTTTAAACCTACATTGTACCACCTTAGTGATTTGTACTTTTGGACATGTCACAGCCGGAAGGCTGCTGAGGATTTTTTGCATAGTAGTCCTTGCCACATATAGTAAGCGCTGTCCTGTTCTGGGTGCTGCTGAAGCAATTCCGCATCTAATACAGAGCTCTCCCTGGGCGTCTCTGCCATTTAGAAAACATCTTCTGTGATGTCATCTGCCCCCTCTCCCACCTTATTAAATCAGAAAAGATCTTCTATTCATTAAAAAAAATAAATAAATCATCTAGACACACACAAAAGACATCTTCTGAATGGCGAATATGCTGAATTTGAGAATCCTCATCAGCCCTGGATTTGACATATCTATAATTACATGTAACCATGCTGGCCCAAAATATTTTCATGTTGCCCAGTCAAGTGCCTTTGAAGCTTCCTCCGGGTTTCTACCAGTACAGTCTGACATTGCATCCGCAATCCATTCCTTGCAGGTGCAATGCTTTGCAAGCTCCTGGAGGAAAAACAAATGCACTTTTTTTCTACAAAAATATGTGCATTTATAATTTTTCCCCAAAGGGGAACTTAGCCTTTAACCTCCCTAGCGGCATTCCCGAGTGTAGCTTGGGGTAAAACGTCAGTACCAAAAGCGGTAACCCCAAGCTACACTCGGGCTTACCATGCGGCGCTGCATAGGGATTCCCTGCAGAGCTTACCTTATCCTGCGCTCCCGCGATGTGTCCCCTGCAGCGTCCCTGGCCATCTCCATCGGCCGATGCCGGCATCCGGCTTCTGTGTTCCGGTCCCTGTGACGTCGGGACATACGGGTGCCGCCAGAGGCAGGAAATTTGAAAATTTTAAAAATGTCATTTTTTTCCAAACAAATTTTACAAAGTAAAACATTGCTGTTTCAACCCATTTCACATACATTTTGTCCCTAGTGCTTTGTCCTGTGCCCTGCCTGCATTGTGTCTGTTCTTTCTGCCTGGAAACTGAGAAACGTCCATGGCGTCCAAAAAGTGTCCCTTTAGGTCAAAAGCGGGTTTAGATCAGTTAGAGAACAGAATAATGATTCGTGGGGAAATGCGTCATCAGACACTAAAAACGATTTTGCGACTTTGCTCAGCAATGTGCGAACTTGGCGCTATATTTCAAATTTCAGTGTTTTCGGTTTGATTATATTATTGAATTAAATGTATTATTATTATATTATTTTTTATGATTATTTATTAAATTATAATTTATGATTTTGTGTTTCAAATTTTATCATACCCGGGATATTTAATAGACTCTTGTTCAGATAGATTTCAGTGAGTTCTTCCTAAAAATTACAGCCTACAATAAAAAAAACTACATATTTCCACGCAAAATAATGGTACCGCTTTCAGCACCAAAAATCTGAAATAATCATACCGCTAGGGAGATTAAGATGGGGAAGTAACCTGAACCAGAGAGAGAAGCTAAACGATTCATTAATCCAAAATCAGTACACTTGCCATATTTCACTGCCACATGAAAACAATCAACAAGTATAAGAGGCCAAAGTTCTTTGGTAAAGAATGACTTGCCTTTGCTCTAGGCATTTTGTGTAGTTGAAATACACTAAAAACAGAACCTTAGGGTACGAGATCAGACCAAAATATAAACGGATCACACCCATCCTGATTAAAGTCCTTTAAACATTTTCTTTCAAGTTACATGTTATATTATCCAAGCAATTAGACACGTATAACCTGTTCCCACCAGCCGTATGCACATATGTGGCCTCTCGGCAGGTGGGTTTTAATGTCGGAAGGCAACATATATGTGTCCCAGATGTATAAATTTTTATGCTGAGAGCACACAGCCTGTACACTCCCAGCACAGTTACTGGCGGGTACTGGAAAGCTCCCAATGGCTACTTGCTGATCATGTGACCACTGTGCCTGCCAAAGTGGACACATGATCGGAATGCCTACCTGTCTCCTGGCATTTAGAAACGCTTAAAGGGTTGGGATGTGGCAACGGGAAGAGGTTAATTGATGCAGTATATCTAAAATTCAAAGAGTCATGGTCATCCTACCAAAGTTAAAATATGTATGTGTGTGTTATGTACATTAACAAAAAAAATGTAAATTTAAAAAAAAACTTTTTTTGCACATTAATAAAATATATTCCAAAATAAGAGAATTGGTATGGATTCATGATAGAAGGGTCACGTCTACCCTAATCAGTTTGCATGAGAAGCTCGAACCTGGATGCTGTCTGGGCAGAAAACAGAGAGGAACCTGATGACATCAAGACCCTAATATAAATCTGGAAGTTCTAGGGTGCCTGTAACCAGAAATGCTTGGGATTTATTTTTGTTCTTTTCATCTTCAAAACAGGTGTCTTTGAACACATTAATGCAATCAAATATAGATGGGTCAAATTCTGAATGAATTTTCTTTAGACAAATCAGAAATTTTGTGCATTTTGTAATCTGATGGTGCCACCATTGCTTTCAAAATTTGACCAACCAAGCCTTTAATTTCACCTGTTGCTACAGAAAAGTTTTCATAGCAAGCATTTTCTTTTCTTTCCATGGCACAGCTCATGCTCATTTCTTTTTCGATTAAATTTCTCACACGATTCTCCCATCATTAAATCAGAAATTCATTTGTTTTTCAAAAAATTTCCAACATGCCCAATCACTCAAATTCAATGGTCGCTCAAAAATCAGCCATTGCTGTGGCCCACTAATGGTGCAAAATTCAAACAAAAATTCTTAGAAAAGATTTTGGAAAGAACACTCTTTTGGAATTCGACCCATGTATGGCCGGCTTAAGGCATATTTAGTTAAAGCAGAACTAATCTCTAATGGATAGCTGCAAGGGTATCCTCACAAATAACCAAAGTAAACCCATATAAAATAGTATACAGCTCACACAGGCTCATTAATCATTACAGTTATATGAAACTGCTTTGAGGTGACTGGACAGTGGTAAATAAAGAAGGCTGCAAGAACATTCCTCTATATTCCTCCCACTCCCAGCTAGCCTCAGTTTTTTTGCAAGTGTCCTTAAGTGACTGACCTTTTCTCTGTATTGGAGAGAAGTTTACCTTCTTCATATGAACATTTCCCTCCATTTCTGAGAATTCTATCTAGATTCCTGCTGCACACTAGCCCGTGGCTCCTAATCCAGATTTTGGATCAGTTGACTCCTCGGCAGAGCATCAGAGGACTGTACCTGTACACCGCTGGATGAAAGACAGGGTGCCAGCCTGTAATGTTTTTATATACTGGATGCTGCTGTGGGGCCTTCCCTTGGCATGTAATGGAACACTTGGAGGTAGCCACAGGTTGATTTACATGTGGGCAGGTAGGGTAATGTGGATGGGATGATGGTCACGGCCTCCATGTTTTACAATTAACATGTTAGGTGCCAAGTCTGGGAAACATGTGAGGCCTACCTCCGGGGTGGGGTTTTTCTGAGCTACGCTAGGGTTCTTTTTGTACAAGATCCCCCTATTTTACACACAGAGGTTTTCATCAAGGCCCTGAGAAAAGGCTGAGGTAGCCATCAGGTAATACTCTACCTTAAGGCAGGCCTCTACTCTTAGTGATGAACGTACGCACTGTACACTTGCACAAAATGTCCCCCAGTTACTCGCAGGTACCTGTGTAAATGTATATATTCCCACTGTAGCTTGTAATTAGCAGACTGTGACAAACACGGACCACACTTAAATATACAATCTTAATTACCCCAAATACACATCCACCAACAACAAGCATAAAAAATAAAAGTACAATACTGTAATTTAGAAAATAAAAATAATTAGTGTCCAAAAAGTGAAAAGTGTCTTTTTTTCTGTATACAAGTCCAAAACACTTTTTCTCCACTTCAATCACTTCTCCTTGTGATATATGAAATTTCCAATACGATGATCCAGTAGAACAAACCTCAAAAAAAATATAAAATCGCAAATAGTGTATTATCTTATTAAAAAAATATATGCGTGCACTATGTGTTTGATGACAAAGTCCAGGAAGTGACGAAACGCATCGGGACACGTGACGTATGACGCAATTACGCTAGACCGGAAGTAGGTGTGCGGCCATCTTTGATTAGGGAAAATGCGATTTTCTCCAGGAAAGTGCCTGTCCATGTGCTGAACAAGCTGAAAGCTGGAGTTTTTTATGTAAGTGGATGTAATAAAAGTGTTGTACCCTTATTACTCAGTCTCTAACTGCCTGTTTCACCTTATGAGGGATATGGAGATATACCAAAAGGATATGGGTATACGTGTAATGGAAGCTTGAGAAAATTGGAGGTGCAGTTACCTATCATTCAAGAAAGCGGGTTATTACCTCATAGGGTAATTGTTCATTTGCAGCACCAGTTTGGAGTGGTCACCTTTACACTGGTTGATGTGATTCACATTTTGATTGGTTGCAGTGTGTTGAGTTCACGGTCACGTTCTATAGGCGCACTTGGAATTTGTTTTGAGATATATTGTTGGTGCACATTCAAAGTTTATTTATAGATAAGTGTTTTTTTTTTTTTCCCTTTCTGATTGAACATCTTGCGTTGGAGTATGCATGACACATAGTGCACAAATATATTTTTTTAATAAGATAATACACTATTTGCAATTTATATTTTTTTTGAGGTTTGTTCTACTGGATCATCGTATTGGAAATTTCATATATCACAAGGAGAAGTGATTGAAGTGGAGAAAAAGTGTTTTGGACTTGTATACAGGAAAAAAAAGACACTTTTCACTTTTTGGACACTAATTTTTTTTATTTTCTAAATTACAGTATTGTACTTTTATTTTTATGCTT